TGTACACTGGTACAGATCAGAGCTGGAAACACAGGGAATCCAGGACAGATAAACCCCTCAGGACCAATAATGAGAATAGCCATACCAGGAGGGTAGGGAAAGGTGGGGTAGAAAGGGGGAACCAATCACAATGATCTACATATAACCTCCTCCCTGGGGGATGGACAACAGAAAAGTGGGTAAAGGGAGACATCAGAAAGTGTAAGTCATGAAAAAATAATAATTTATAAATTATCAAGGGTTCATGAGGGAGGGAGGGTAGGGAAGGGAGGAGGGAAAATGAGGAGCTGATACCAAGGTCTCAAGTAGAAAAAAAATATTTTGAGAATGATGATGGCAAGAAATGTACAAATGTGTTTGACACAATGGATGGATGCAAGGATTGTGATGAGTTGTGTGAGCCCCCAATAAAATGATTAAAAATTAATTAATTAAAAGAGGTACGGTCTCAAAACCACACAAAGGCAGTTCTACTTTGTCCTATGGGTTTGTTATGAGTCCGAATTGACTTAGTGGCAGTGAGTGTGGATCCTATCTTAACATAAAGAAAATAAGCAAACTCACAACTGGACCAAGAAGACATGTCATGATAAACAGAAGAGATTGAAAACAAGAATTTCATTTTACTAGGATCTGAAATCCATGCCCAGTCAAAACAAAAATTAACAAAAATCAAATGATGTTTGTGGTAATTTTATAATCTTATGTCAACTGGAAGCTTTATAAAAGTGTAGGGGCGGAGTCTAGCATCTCAATTGGGCCACCGCCTGATGTGGCCTTCTCAGAAGGAGGGTTCACAGAACCTCCTCCTCTTTCTCTGCCTTCATCTTCCTTTGGCTGCCAGAACCCTGGAGATGTGTCCACCACCATTGTATCTACAAAATTTACACCCACTGGCCTGTGATATTCCTGCATCCTGCATCATTGCATGTGGCTGTGTGAGTCTGAAAGGGATTATTGACGAGCATCGGATTTATGGGCTTGAGTTTGACTGGACTGGGATGTTTTCTTACACAGCTATGAGTGTTACTGGATTTCACTAGTCAACTGGCCTAACACAACGTACTACATTGGGAAATGTGCTGCAAATTGTCTCTCTAAAGTGTTCAAAAGCAAGATTGGCACTTTGAAAATTAAGGTGCCTATGGCCTGTGGTATGGTATTTTCAATCTCATACACATGTGAACGCTGGATACTAAAGAAAGAATACTATAGAAAAAGCGGTGCCTTTGAATTAATTATGGTGTTGGCAATGAATATTAAATATATTTACAATTTTATTTGGGGATAAAGTACAGTCAGAATGCTCTTTGGAGGGTTGAATGAGAGGCTTTGTCCTTGTCCTTTGAACATATCAGGTGAGACCAGCCCTTGGAGAAGGACATCATGCTTGGGAGAGGGTCAGCACAAAAAGAGGAAGACTGTCCACAACAATGGGCTCACACATAGCAGTGACTGTGAGAATGACATCGGACGAGGCGATATTTCACTCAGCATACTTGGACTATATAGGACTAATCTGAATCGGAACCAACTTGAGAGCAATGAACAATAGCACAATCAGTAAACAGTCAAAATGTCTAACGCATGCTCACCAACTCTAGAAAGATTGTTTTCTTTTTGACTGGTGGCCGGTACACCTCCGAGTCTGATCAGGGAATATCAGCCACGGTTCTGGACTGAACACCATCAGCAAAACATACTTTCATAATGAGATGGGTTTCTTCCTCCCTTATGTGTATCTGAGCTGGGTTGACTGTTCACATTTCATTTTCATGTCTACTTGTGAATTGGTTCTGTTTTCTCTTGTTTGATAGCTTACATAATTATCCTTATGTGATAGAATGTTACTTTTTCTTCAAAATCAGTTTTATTGAAACATAATTTACCATGCTTGCTTCGGCAGCACATATACTAAAATTGGCATGATCCAGAGGAGATTAGCATGGCCCCTGCACAAGGATGGCACACAAATTTGTGAAGCGTTCCATATTAAAAAAAGAAATATAATTTACCTTCTATAAAACGTTCCTTTTCATGTGTAGAAGTAGGTAACTGCCAACCAAGCACACTTTAAAATACTGGACGATCTTCCAATTCTCTATTTGCCCCAGCTTGTCACCTTGACTGACCAACTAGGATGCCAATGTGGAGGGCTCCAGAGACCTTTGTGTAGCAGGGAATGTTACCTGGGGAGGAAATGAACTGGCTCATTATTAGCCATTAATATATCATCTTAAATCTGTTCATAAGGGAGAGGATACTGCAGTGCAATGGTTCTCAGTATACACATGCTTTAATTTCAAGGGGCTTCAAAATGTTCATGGGAAGAAGAAATGAACAGATAATGGAAAATTGCATGAACGTTTTGAAGCCCTCTTGCATTAACTAGCAATAATTTCTTACTTAAAAATTAATACTTTTCAAAATACTTTTTTTAGAGGCCTGAATGGAAGTGGTGAAGTGCTCAGCTATGAACTGAAAGGTCAGCAATTCAAGCCCATCAGCCGCTCCCTGGAAGAAAGGTACGGGTAGTCTGCTTCTGTTTCACCACCTTGGACATCTGATGGGGCAGTTACAAGCAGTTAAACTGAGTGCTAAAACAGTGTGCCACGAAGGTCCTTTAATGGACCTGTTACCTTGGGCAAAATACTTAAACTCCTCTTTATCAGCTAATGCTTTTGTAATGGAAACCCCACAAGTGAGTGACTTCCAATGACAAATTCATTTTTTCATGGTTCTGGAAGCTAGCCATCTGAATTCATGACACTGGCCGTAGCCGATGTAGACTTTGGAGGAAGGCCCTTGTTTCTGCCAGTGCTGCAGTCTGGGTTCCTTGGCAGTTTTCACATGATGCTTATCTTCTCAGTGGTGTGTTGGCTTCTGTGTCTAAACCGTTCGTTTTAGAACTCATCACAAAGAAAGCTGGATTGCATCCCATCATCAAGATGCTTACTCATGTTTTTGGTGAACCAATTCAATCCAAAACACTCCTCCAAGCTTCGCATTTACAAAAAAGGGACAATATTATCTAATTGATAGGTCTGTTGCAAGAATTTAAGGGGAAAAAAAGAGATAGTGTATGTAAAACAGTCAGCAGGGTGCCTAAAAAAACAATAATTGCTCAGCTACTTTAAACCTTCCTGTTTTTCAACCTCCCGTTCCCACTTATATCCATCCTGTGGCTGATGACGAAGTCTTTCACTGTTCCCATGGCCTTTCTATTCATTTTTAGACAACTGAATTCAAGGTCATTATAAAATATAAAACAGTCTCACATAGAAGTTAGGTCTCATTCTGCATAATAATTAAAATGATTAATGTGATATAAAGTCATGTCTTCTCCCAAGCCCCTGCCTCAGGCAACTAGGAGCCTTTTCAATGGTCAATGGAGTTGCAATACCACCAATCTTCAGACAAACCCGAGACTCATGGGGCCGATGGATGGATGGATGGATGGATGGATGAAGTGCATTCCCTTGGTCAGACGATTCTCCTGGGCGCTCCTGTCCCGTGGCTCTCTTGAACCTGGTGGCTGCATCTCTTATTGCTGTTAGGTACTTATAACTCCTTTTCAGACCCTACAACCTACACCTTATGCAGCCATTTTGAATACACCCCAAGAGGACACTCCTCCTCCACTTGCAATTTTTTCTTTCCCACTGGTCCATGGACCCAGCAGTCCTCAGAGTCCTCGACGCCACCTGTCTGGAGTTGAAGAACTCTTTTGACTCATGACCGAAGCAGTTAGGAATGAAGAAATAAAGGCAATATCTCAGTAATGAAGAAGTTAATCTTCAACTAACTGCTCCCTATTCAAACAAGTAAAGGGCTGAATTGTGTGTTAAAATCTACTTGTCTAATTCCAAAGATCTTATTATTGCGTTCTCCTATAAACACAGGGTCAGTGTTCAATAGAGACATATTGAAACTGCATGTCCAGACTGGTGTGAAATGCCCCAAGAAATATAGGCAGAACCAGTCCATTTAAGTAGAAAAGGCTTGTTCTGAAACATCTGAGAGAACTGTTTACCTCCAGCCCAGCTACAGCTGTAATGATTTCTCTTGGACATTAACTCAGATTACCTTTGGTAATTTTCTCAAATCTTTCTTTTCTTCCAAGCACCGGCATTCATTAGCAATTACGGATTCAACGCGCTCACTAAATGAAACATGAATATTATATCCCAGCCACCTGACTCCTGATAATAAAACTCCATCTATCATCTGAATACTCCAGTAGAAAAAAAAATGCAGGCTTTACTAATGCCATAGTGTTGGCTCTGATTTTATTATTTTACTATCTAGTCAATGTGCCATGTTAATCACTGCTCATTTGAGCAAGAACACTTTTATTCGTTCAGTATTTAGTCCTGAGTTGGTATTTGACCAAAAGAATTGACCAGTTGCTGAATGGGGTCAGGGTTTTCTTTCGTTCTTTCTCTCTATTGGATGTTTCTCACAAACACATGCTCATTGGCAAAGGCATCTGAGAGATACAGTTAGAGGAAAGCAGTATGCTTTATTTGTCTTCGTATTTCATTGTTCTACCGCTGTAAGTCTAGGGCTTCCCAATGTTCCAGAGCTCCTGAGGTCCATGACCTAGCTGGAAAGCTGTCCATGGCAGGTCCCCTTTGGGCTCAGGAGCTGGAAGAATCAGAACCATGGTCCATTCAGCATTCCTTGGAGAGGCTTGGAGCATTATTTCATAAGCCTACATGATAAATCTTGCCTTAAAACTAGATGCCCTCCGCAGAGTACAGCTACAAAAACAACTCGCATTAATGAGTGTATTGTCTCAGTTGTCCTGCGGTCCGCTTCCACCATGGCAGCCTCGCCCACAGAACAGCACTGAACTCTGCATGTCATAGTTGCTACTATGCCTTATTTTACTGTTTCAGCTCTCTTTATCGATCCACCGAATTTTGGGCCTCTCTTGTCTTTGCTAGCTCTTTGCTTTTCCACCCATGATGTAGTGTCCTTGAGTTTGGTCTTTCCTGATGATCTATCCAAAGTAAGCAAAATGAAGTCTGGCCATTCTCGTGTCTAAACAGCATTCTGGTTTTATTTCTTCTAAGACTTATTTTTTTCATTGTTCTGACAGTCAACAGTATACTCAATATTCTTCATGAGCACCACAATTTGAATGTTTCAGTTCTTCTTTATTCATTTCTCAACTTTCACATGTATATGAGTGTAATAGTCTAGGTATTTTGGAGAAACAAATCCACAGCGACTCATGTATAAGATAGAGTTTTATGTAAAGAAAAGGTGCATCACGAAAACATTCCAACCCAATGCTGGCCAAAGCCCACAAGTCCAACATTAACCCATTAACCTAACACCAGTCCACAAAGTCCTCCACCTCACAAAACAGAGGCAATGATGCCGACTGCAGGAGGAAAGCTGAGTCCGTGAACGTGTAAGCATCTCAGCACTAGCAGGGGTCTCCACACGGCTGCTCCAGCACCCAGGGCTGCATCGGGATAGATCCATGCGGCTTCTCCTTGGGGATGTCTTGGAGGAAGTCAATCTTGTAAGCTGAAGCAGGGAACTGCTAAGGCAGCTGCACCCGATACAACCATCACAAAACAAGAGACCCGAGAACTAGAAAGGCGAGGCTTCACCACCCATTTATCCCTCCGCCTTTCAACCAGCACCACATGTGATTATCGGCCAGGCTGGCACAATTAACTAACTCAATGAGCCAATTGAAAACAGTATGTCTTGGGTTAGGCACACCTTAGTCATTAAACTGACATCTTTGCTGTTTAATCCTTAAAAGAGGGCTTGTACAGTAAATTTGTCCAATGCAATATATGGCTTGATTTTTTGGCCACTGTATCGCTAGAACATGAAGTATTGATTGATAACTAAATTATACTATTTTTTTCTCATTTTTCCCTTCAAAGTGTTTGCTTTCAGAAATTCATGGATTTGGTAAGAAAGTTTGACCAGTATTTTAGCAAAGAATATTTTCCAAAAATATTTAATTAAACATAATGAATTCATATGCAAAATATAAATAGGTCTTCTAAATTCAATGGTATCTTTCCATAGTTAACTTGTGTTCTTTTGGTTGCAAGCAACATAAATGCAACTGAAGCCAGCCTATGAATAAGAGAGAAAAACTTGAAATGACATGAAAGTGTGTTAAGGACCCAGAAAGCATGGAGTGCACAGAGTTTCAGAAATGACCACAGGATTAGAAGCCCTGTAAGAAAACTTGACAATCATTTCTTCTGTGTCTTTTGTCTTAGTTTCTTTTCGTAAATGCATACTGTGTCACTCCCAAGTCCACATAGTGGACTATAATAGTCAAAAATTATCTGGGCTTTATATTTCATAATTGAGGAACCTAAGGGAGTCCCAATCTCCAATTTTCCAGAAAAGATAGAATTTTACTCAGTTTCAATTAGATATCTGCCCCAGTAATTAGCTGTGGACAGAGTGAATGAGTTATCCTATTAAATTATTGTGGTAGTTCCATAATCTGGTGTCAATTTGAGAATTAAGAGTGAAGGGTAGCATCTAGGCTGTCAATCAGGATACAGCCAATGAGGCTTCTGTGTGGGCATGGCCTTCTCCTGAGGATTCTGGGAACTCCTCTATTCCTCCCTTGAGGCAGGAGACACAGTCTCTCTCTCTACTCATACCCTGGGAGACATAGCAGCTGACAAGACACATGGAACTACATGTGCCCTGAGCTGTAGGAGACACATGAAGACCCCTGCCCGCACTGAGATGCTTACCATGCCACTGGATCCACAAGACTACCCACCCACTGGCTTGTGATTTACCTGCATTCAGAATCTTTGCATGTGTTTCATGAGTTTGAAGAGGACTATATAGATTGGTATCGAACATATTGGCTAATATCGGACTTATGGACTTGATCTGGATGGAGCTGGGGTGTTTTCTCAATATTCAATTGCTCTTGTATATAAAGCTCATTCTTATTCACATAAGATTGTCAATAAATTTGTTGCTCTAGTCT